CCCACCCCCACCCCCCACACCCACACCCACACACCCCACACCCACATCCACACACCCCACACCCAAACGCACACCCACACCCCACACCCACATCCTCATCGGTTCAGTTTTTTTTATAAATAATCAACACTTCTATAATAGGTATGAATCTTATATTTGTAACCTTTTGTTATCTCGATTTAATTTAAAAGTAAGAATGGAAAACATTATTATTGCAAAGAATGTCTGATGCATTTATGCAAAAACTGAAGTTTATTCCGCAAATGAAATGTTGTCCATACCTTTGATTACATTTTGATGCTGTTAAGTTTCTTCTTAAAAATGTAACTATGAAAAACAAGAACGATTAACAAAAAAGTACATTAACAACGAACACACAAACAAAACAAAAAATGCACAGTAGTGTAATTTTGATCATTGATACCTTTTGGTTTTTACTCCTGTTGTTGGCTGTACGGTAAGTGAAAATTCAAAGAGGGAAGTGTAAGCAGAGGCGCGCTGAAAAGCCCTGATTGGATTTTTTAATTGCTATTTCATGTTATTCTATCTCATCAAGAGCTCTTTTGTCTCTGTTGCTCTATATACTTCTACCGAGGGTCTGGGGTGTGACTGTGGGTGAAGATGCGGGTGTCGCTGTAGGTGTGGATATACTGAAGGTGCGGGTGAGTGTAGCAGTGCGAGTGGGTATGGATATATGTGTGGATAGGACGAGGAAAGCATCCACATCCATAACCACATCAGCATCCAAGCCTACAACCATACAAACATACCACACCTACACCCATACGCTAATTTGCTTCCAAAGATAGTGACTCAATTCTATCGATCAGCACTGATCCATCAATTTATCTTGAAAGTCAACTGATATTGGCTAAGGAACATATGAATATCAGAAATGATGAGACTATGCCTAAGACTACATCATTATCGTGTTCAGAATATTCTGAGAAATCTGACTTGTCTTCTGATCTTGATCAACATCATGAAGCTCTTAATGATCAACCAAATACAATGGACACTATAGAAATACAACATTTTGTTGAAAAACGATTTCAAATAAATGAAGAGCGAACAGAAATTAAAGAACTTGCGAATATTCCTAAAAGCATGTCATCTGTCCGTTCTCATTGTGAGGTGAAGTGCCAATCGACTAATCATCAAGATTCAGATTTAGTTACCATAAAATCTAATAATATTTCAACGGCTAGTATTGCACAACACACGAGCGATTCTTTAACTATGTTTCCTTGTTAGCAATGCTCCAAGAAATTCAAAACAGGTTACGGTCGTGGGAGATATTATATTGATCATCATATTGCATCAGATCTGTCCCTTTCTAATATACTATTTAGCGACGTCGGTAAAAGTGCATGTGCTACGTCAAAAGCACACGAGGATACGGCGGCCTCAAGTAATCTACTGGCTATGCAATACAGATGTTGGTCATGCACAAAAAGATTCCAATCACATCAGAATCTCATAGCTCATTTTTTTGGCAAGCATGCTAATTTCATTTTATTTGCAACTATTGAACCAATCGATATTCTTAAAAATGAAATAACTAAAGCAAAACAAAAAATGGAGACTTCATCTACTAAGGACGTAGTATCATATGACTGCTGCAAGGAATTTGAGAAAGTCAAACTTGTGAATACTTGCAGCTTGAAACTCAAGGACAAACATGCCGAATCTTCTGCATTTGCGACTACTTTAACAACAAAGCTTAGTACTAATGGAACGATGGCGCCAACACAAATTCAGAAAAAGATTCCAAGCCAAGTCATTGAATTAATCAGCTCGCAAAATAATAAATCTTCACATCGCCAAAGGCTCGAACCAATTACTTATGCCAATGTTGATTTTCACGGGAAACAAGTGACATCAAATTTACCTATGAATGTTGAGCCATCAAGTACACTTGATGATCAATCAAAAGTAATAATGAAAGATCAGAATAGTGCTACCAAAAATGTGCATCATTTTCTTAAATTTTTTTCTTGTTGGACGTGTCTCAAGAAATATAAATCTGCTCATAGTCGTTTGCATAACTTTTTATTGAGTCATTTCGAGTTATTTCTACCTCCTTCTACTCTTCTAACAAACTATGCCGGGGAGAACGCATTATTATATAGCAAGAAGAGAGAAAAATTCGACGTGCCAGTGAATCCTGTGAGTAATTTTTGCGTTTGCTGGGAATACGGAAAGAAATTCAAATCTTTTGATCGTCAGAAATCACACAACTTGGAAAGCCATGCTGAAGCCTTACTACCCATGGATATTGATCCATCAGATATCCTGAACAACCAAATGACAATGGCACAAGAAAGAATGAAGATGAAACATGACGCAACAACTTCTCTCACATCATTGTTTAGCTGTTCTAAATGCTGAAAAACATTCAAAACCATGACTGATTCTTCGAATAATTTCAACGGCAAACATTCTGGATCCATTCTTACCCCTCATCATCTGTAACGTATCCTATTGGGCATTGCTTTCGCTACGAGACTACGCCATTTTTGTCTGTCTTGAGCATTTTTCCAGGCGGAGAAAAGACAAAGATTGAATGGACGTAGGCCTTCTTCGACGGAGCGGATCCACCTGTGGCCTGGTCTGCCTCGGGGGCGTTTCCATCCACATGGTGGTTCATTAATACCTGCTTGCAGTGCTCTGGTGTGGCCGGAGAGAGAATTGCCCCTGGCAATGTGTCCGAAATATCGCAGTCTTTTGCTTTTGATAGTTGTGCTAATTTAAGGTTGGTCGGTGCGTTCACGGACTTCTTTGTTCGTGATGTGTTTCGTTTATGGTATGTGAAGAATTCGTCTAAGGCACCAGTTATCGAAGGCATCTAATTTTTTCTCGATCGAGCCAGTTACTGTCCAGGTCTCCGCGCCGTACAGGAGGACTGGTAATATATAGCAGTTGTAAAGACGAATTTTGATCTGTAGTGATATGCTTGAGCGCCAGATGGATTTGTCCAGGGTCTTCATGCAGTTCTGAACGATTGCAAGCCTTCTGGTGATTTCTGGTATGCTGCTGCCTGCTTTGTTAATCGTGCAACCTAACTAGACGAATGAGTCGACCACTTCCAGATTTTGGCTGCCTACAGATAGTACGTTGTTGTTAGTCGGTTCGGTTCTGGTTTCTTGAATTTTTGTCTTCGGCCAGTTGATTTCTAAGCCAAGCGAGTGGGCTTCATGTTGCACAACCTCCAATGCCAGCAGAAGTGCTTCCACAATCTCGGCTAGAAGTGCTACATCGTTTGCAAAGTCCAAATCAGTGAATAACTTCGTTACTCAGTGTAGCGCCGAGCAACCCTCAGTGTACGGTTCGTTGGAGCAGCCAGTCCATTGGTGCTAAAAACAGATCTGGGGCAACTGTGCACCCTTGGCGAAAACCGCTTTTGACTTCAAACCAGTCGAATAGTTGGCCGTCGACGCGAAAGCAGCTGAATGTGTCAGAATACAGTTCCCTCATTAGGGGAACGATTTTCTTGGGAACGCCGAGACTTGTTAGTATAAGCCAAAGAGCGTTACGATTGACCGAGTCGAATGCTGCTTTGAGGTCAACGTAGACGATCCAGAGTGAGCGGTTGTATTCGCGTAGTGTTTGAAGCACCGTGAGTAATGTGAAGATTCTATCCATCGTTGATCGGCCTGGTGTGTAGCCACTTTGCTCGTTCCTGCCCTTGGCCAAAAGCAAGTTCTTCACCCTTGACAATAGAATTTGTGCAAACAGTTTGCCGGGGCAGGACAGTAATATGATATCTCTGTAGTTTTTACACTCCTGCCTGTTACGTTTTTCTTTATAAAATAGTAGAATAATGCCTTTTTTTCCAATCCGAAGGAATGACTCCGAACCGCCAGAGATCCTGGTAGATATTGGTTAGCCAGGTACTACAGGTGACACCTCCAGCTTTCATCATCTCCGGGGTGATATTGCAACTACCCGGTGCTTTGCCGTTTTTCATTTTGTTTAGACAGTTGATAACTTCCTTCACCATTGGTTCGCTGCAATTGATGGTTGGATGTTCGATGGCCGATTGGGCAGCGGTAGTCAGTTCCTCAGAGTCAGATGCGTTGGATCGGTTGAAAAGTTCAGCATAATAGTTACGCCAGCATTCCACTTTTTGTGATTTGTCGCTGATCAGATTGCCGTTTGCGTCAAGAATTGGGCTGGAGATGGGTCTGGTTGCCTTAGCTAAGCGTCGAAAGTTAGCAAAAGCGTCCCTCACTTCACCTGCGATGAGTGCCACCTCACCGTCTCTCGCCATGTTGTCAGCCCATTGTTGTCGATCCAGTTTTAGATTTGTCTTGCATTGTTTGTTCAATTTTTTGTATTCATCATGTTTATTGAGAAGACTTACTTGTCTCTTTTTCTCAACCAATGTGGGGATAGTATCGCTGACCCACGGCTTCTTGATTTGTTTGCGAATACCCAATTGCTTTGTTACTACATCGTTTAATGTTTTCTTGAATCTGTTCCAGTTTGAGGTCTCTTCAATTGCTAATGCAGCGCAGCGGTTGCTTATTTCCACTGCGTCTTGAGATTGCACTGCAGAATGTCCCAGCTTCCTTATGTTATAACGTAATGTATGTGACTTTTTCTCGCTTGTGCGTTTTAGTCTTAGCGTCATTGTATCGATTACAGGTTGATGGTCTGTGTTGAATTCCAGACAACAACAGACGCGGCAATTTTGCAAGACGAACCATTTAGTGTTTACCAAAATGTGATCGATTTCCTTGACGGTCACCCCGTCGTTTGAGAACCATGTGTGCCTGTGTATATCCTTACGCTTGAACCATGAATCACCGATTCTTAAGGCAGCTCCCAAACAGAAGTTCAGTAGCCTCTCGGAGTTGTCGTTTGGAGTGCCACTTCCATACGGGCCAACGACGTGTGCCATATTGATTCTTGACGTTCGTGTAACAGCATTGAAGTCACCAAGACAAATGATAAGGTCACTTTAATGTGTCATTTTCATTGCTTGTTCAATTTGTTGATAGAAGGCATCTTCGTCAATGTCGCTCGCCTCATTTATGGGGCGTAGGCTACCATTAATGAGAGAAAGCCGAAGTTGTGTTTGAATCTGGTCGTCAACAGTCTTTCATTGATTGGGTGCCATGAGATCATAGATGCGACGGCGGTCTGATTGAATGAGAGAGCCACTCCTGCAGACCGTGGAGCGTCCACACTTGGACCGGACCATAAAATTGTATAAGAGCCACATGTTGTTTCACCGATATCGGACCAGCGCACTTCTTGGAGAGCCATCATGTTGATTCTTACTTTTTCAAGTTCTGAGACGAGGATGGTAGCTGCACCTGTCTCTAGTAGTGTTCTTATGTTCCATTTACCAACACGAAAAAGTTTCTTGGCAAAAAACGTTTTGCTTGAGAGTTGTAAGAATTGTAAGGATTTCTCCTGATGACGACCGAATTGGCCTTACTTCCGACCCTGCCGGACGCGGGTCCCACTCTTGATGGTTGGGATTCGTTTACGTCGTTAGTCGTAACAGTATTTTGGTTTCGTCTCATAGTGAATTACATAGGCAGAGAATTTCCCTGGTTCCTTGCCGGGAGAACGTAGGCAAGGTGGCTGACCGTTTATGAAGAAGATCTTCATATCCGCTTTAGATCGGCGACCCGATCGCCGCCTGTGTTGGCCATCGTTTTCAGGGTTCTCATTGAGCCTTTCCATCTCGCGTAGCGCCCTAAGTCATTCTTCAGCCGGAGCTTTCATCACTGATGGCATAGCCTCAATGAGCATTCCCCTACTCAGATGTTCGCCCCCACACCACGGCGAGATACAGGACGGGTTTTGAGGGGGATTTTTATCCCTATGCCTACAATATTGAACTATGTCGATAATGAAACCACAAAGGTGAAAGAACAGATGAAAACTATACAAAATATAACTTATCCTGTTGATACATGTTTGAATAGTTCGAAATGCTCAATAGACTTCAGTGTAATCAATAATTACTCGAATCGTTCTAATATCGATCATGTAGACTTTAAAACAGCAACGATAACCAAGCCTCACAATAACTTTGAGATTCAAAGGAAGGTATTGCAAGGGTATACGAACGACAGAGAATCGAAACGAACATTTATAGATATATTATACTATTGTCAACAGTGTCACAAAGAATTTGTGTGTGCTGCTGATCAATTAGAAGGTTTTCAAACAGACCATAGTGAAATGAAACCATCCAGAAGAACTTTAGCAGAATTTTTTAGCAATCCATCTATTATGCAATGCCCTAAAGCGAAGTCTACTAGACTCGTTTACATGTCCTCAGGATTGACTCGGAAACAAATCTGAATCACATCTGACAAAATGAACCGTTGTCCTTATAAATCATGCTACTTGAAAGAAGTTAGTTATGATTTCAAAGAGTTATGGCTGCACACAATGACAGAACACAAGAATACACAGATCAAACTAGAATGTTGTGATACTATGATAATATATACGCCAGAAAAATACAAGAACCACATTCTACATCAGAATAAGAGTCGTTGGACTCAGTGACATGCCACATAAACTAATTGTTATGATTCTAGCATTTGAATATTCTTGATTTGAAAGCATTATGACCTTTGATTAAATAGTGCCGTTTGCATTTCGATAATATCTCATGACGATAGTCGAGTTTTTGGGGGTTTCGATGTGGACGTGTATAAGAATGTTCTCGAAAGATTACTGCTCTTCTATGATACTATACCGAAAGATTAAAATTATACATTGGTTACTTTTTATTCATTGAAGATGTTCGATATTTTGTCATTCTACAGAACATAACTCTTGTAACTCTTCTTTCATGGGAATTATTGCTTTACTTTTTTTCATACATCACAGTTCAATTAAATTACTAACCCCACAAGGGAAAGTGTCTGTTATTCAATATTTGTTTTACACACTGAGATAAAAGTTCTACACCTTGAGTTAGGATCTATCTGGTAGGTGTTTTGATGTATCAATGCGTTTTTTTCCATGAAATTAAGTTCAAACCACGAAACAAATGAAAATTCTCCTTATTTTTATAACAGAGATTTATATCTTCCTTACCTTCTATGTATTTCTCTAGTAGAGTTGTCAAATTATCGCGATACTTTCGGATTCCTGATGTATTCCCAGGACTCCCATTGTATTCTCGGGATTTCCAATGTATTCCTAGAATTTTCACTGGATTTTTAGCGATTCGGAATCCCAAAAATCCACCGTTTCCCCAAGAACCATACCTTCACCCATACTCACACCGACACCCACATCAGCATACCCCATACTGACACCCACACCCGCACACCCCACGCTCATACTCACACCCACACCCACACCCACACCCACACCCCACACCCACACCCACACCCACATCCACACCTCACACCCACCCACATCCACACCCACACTCAAAAGAGTCTCCAAGGGTGCCAAGGGGTCTCAAAAGATTCCCAAATAGTCTAAAACAAGTCTCAAGAACTCTCGAAAACAGCATCGAAAGAGTCTTAAAAACAGGCTCAGGAAAGTATCATAAAGTGTCGAAAGAGTCTAAAAGTGGTCTAAAAGGAGCCTCTCAAAAGAGTCTTTAAAAAAGTCTCGAAACAGTCTCAAAAGTGTATGAAAATAGTCTCGAAACAATCTCAAAAAGGTGAGGTGTTCTTTTGCGTGCTGGAAAACCTGCTGTTGTTTACGGTGAACATAGGGCCCTACCCAGGCAGACAAAACTTTCGAAAAACGCGTTTAAACGCACAATCGGGAACCGCGACTGTGATCCATTCACGCTCATTAAAAAAACGCAAGAAACGACGTTTTTTGTACAAAATAGTCACTTTTCAAGCGTGAAAACGGTGGAAAACTTAAATTTCTAGTGTTAACACGTTCTCTTTTTCTAGATTTAAAAAATGACGTGTTTAAACGCNCTTTGATAAATTTCGGTAAGGATCTGTCAGGATCCTGAATCTACAAGATCTTGTCAAGTTTTGGGTGTGGAGTCCCGGCTCAATTCCTGCTGCCAGGATTTCTCACAGTTATACAGGATCCTGTTTAGGATTTCTTTCCGTTCCTGGCCAGATGTGTTTGTAGATAATGAATACAGGATCCTTCAAGGATTCATTCATGATTCTGCTTAGGGTCGTAACAGGAATAATGGGGAGAATTCTCTCAAGATTTTATCAAATTTTAGACAAGATCTGATACAGATCTTGGTACAACGACCCAGTCAACTTTTGCAGTCAAAACTGAGGAGCATCGCAACAAAAAGCCAACAAGAGAGTATATGAGTGGCTGTTCTTGTCAGTTAATACAAGTAGAACTCCTGTTCACACCCACAACAACATCTTGTTTTCTAAATTATTCCAAGTTCAACAACAATGGTAACCTGTTCAGGATCCTAATGTAATCCTTTTTCGAATTCTGCTAGGATCTTGAAATTCCGTGGCGACACACTTCTTTCAGAATTTCGTCGTTTCCTCAGAAACAAAGAGCGAATCTTTGTAGGATCCTGACTGAATCCATAAGGGACCTGCCACGGAAACATCAAGAATTTTCCCTAGGGAAACTTTGCAATAGCTCTTTCTGGAAAGCTTTTTTTTCATGTTGAGAAACCAGAAAGGGCCGTGACCGTGACCAAAAAAGTTGGTCACGCCGGGCACTAGTCTGAACTAGTATACTGCTAGGTCCCATCGTTGCTCTAGTCTGTATACATATTGTAAAATATTTTTTAATTATGTCTGATGATGACACAAATTAGTATCAAAGTTCGTAAATAAAAAATCTCATATATACTTTCTATTTTATTTTTTAGAGAAAAACACAAAAAAGAAAAAAAAATGACAAGACTACTGTAGTCAGTGTAACAATATTACATTGGTGCATATTGTGCCATTTGTGTTCCAGGAGTTTTATTTATTTCAGAAAAATAAGCATAACTTTCAGATGAAGATTGATCATTAATATTTAATGATGAAGAAAAACTATCACCTGTTGTACCTGGTATTGGTGTTGATATATGAATATTATATGCTATTAAAAAATATTTAATAAAAAACAATTTTATTATTTTGAATTTATTCTTTTTTACGTTGATAATCAATTTCTATAGCAGGTGATGATGTTGGATGATTTAAATATGTAGCATAAGTATTATGTAAGACATTTTAAGTTACACTTGCTGGATCACCAGTAGAAGTACGTAATGAACCAGAATCTGATGTTATTGTTGATGAAGAATTTGAAATTGATGATGAACCTGTTGTATTTATCTGTTAAATGATTATATGAAGGTGTTGTGGGATTGAATGCTGCAAACTGTAATGGACCTTCATTATTATCATCATAGTCAACTCTAAATTAATTAATAGATACCAACAAACAAAACGAATGAAATAATAACTAACCGAGGTGTTGTTGCATATGTTGGATCCCAAGGTGATGCACCACCATGAGCATGTAGAGTCATTGAACCATCATGACGAGGTGTCTAAAGAGAAATTTTAAAGATATTTTGATTCAATTAGATCTATTCGAACCATACTTCCATAATGAGGTGTTCGTGATCCATCATGCATTGGAGTTTGATTTCCAGTCATGGGTGCACGTGAACCAAAAGACGCATAAGATGGAGTTTGTGAGCCATGTAGTGACGTTGTAAAATGATTCGACATTTCACCTGATTGACGTGAAACATTTCTAAACAAATTAAAAGTTATTAGTTCATTCATTAACAATTGAGATTAAAAAAGCAAACATTGTTGGTACGATTCTATTTCTATCAACAGTAATTATTTGACACTTGGCATGAAGTTCTATTCTGCATGTTGATACTGTTACATCTTTAACAATGCCAACATAATCTTTATAAGGTCCTTGTGAAATTTTCACTGTTTGTCCAATTAAAATTGTATCACGACTAATATTATTTAATGTTGAAAATGTTGTTTTTATTTTTCCAATTAAGTTAGGTGTTCGCCCACCAAATGATGTTGGACTATTTAAATGTAATGATGAGGAACCAGCTGATGATGGTAAATGTGGTGATGGCGATGATATAATACGTGGTGACATATAAGAAGCATTCATTGAAGTTGATGATGGATTTGAAGAAACTTTTAATCTACCACCAGCTAATAATAATTTCCTTGCTTTAGATACAAATAACCACCATTTTCAGTTAATGTACGACACAATACAAAAACAAAATGACGATAAAGATGTTTTATTTGATCTTGACGATTCTTAAAACAAGACAAAAGAAAATTGAATTATTTAGTTTTTTTTATTCTCACTGAAAATGATCCATCAATAACATTAACAATATCTCCAACATATAAATTATTATTTTGTGAATCAAGTGCTGTTGCATTTCAATTTCTTTTTCTTTTTGTTACTGATTGTATTGAAACTATTTGAACTTTTCCATCCATATTTAATACATGTAAACGTTCTTTTTCAGTACGTATAACAACGCCAACTTTATCTGCTCTATTAAAAAGAAAAAATTTACATTTTCTTCTTTTAATAAAAACATACGATATATTAATTAAATCTCTAAATTGAAATTGTCCAGTCGAATCAATACATACAGCGATTTCTTTACAAATTTGAAGATCTGATGTTCGAAGAAGCATCTAAATTAAAGCAATAAACAATAACTATTCTTTTATTTTTATTTTTTATTCTCACTTCATCTTTTGTTCCATCATTTAAAACAATAGCTTTTGTTTCATCAATTCCAACAATCATTTCAGTTTCACCTTCAAATCTTCCATTTAAAACTTTAACATGATTTTCAACTGAAAAATATTTTCTTAATTCATTTGCTTTAAATGGAATTTCATCTTTTAATGCTTCATGTTTCGATAATATTCTTATTAAATCTCCATCAATTCCAACAATTGTACCTTGTAAATTAATTAATTCACCTTTACATACTTCAATATGATCACCCGGTGAAAATAATAATAAATCATTTTTGGATGTTTTCGTTTTAATTACTGAAATTAAATTATTCAAATTTTATTTACAAAAAAAAATTTGAAATTGTTAAATTACCATTACTTTTAGGTCCATCAATTGTTTCTTCAAATTTATCTAATTCATTTATATTTGGAGTTATACCATCTGTTGACTAAAATTTTTTTAAATTCAAATAATGTATCATTATATATATATATATTAAATGATTATTTCTTAACAATAGAATTTCATATGAAAGAACAAATAGATTTTAATATAATTAATTTTTACTTGACAAAATCTTATTTTAGCGCTTATAATTTCACTAATCATCATAATAAAGTATCATATTGAAAAATTTTTTGTGAATTTCATCTATTAAGATTATTGTCATTATACGATAGAATTTCTTTCTCAAAAAATAAAAACAAACGAATTAAACTATTATCTAATAACAATTAAAATTCAATAGCAAAAACATTAAATGTTTTACAAATCCACATAAACAATCAATGAAAGGCATACTTAACTCAATTTAGAAGTATATTTTTACCCTGTTGAATGAATATCTATTAACTTTTGCCTATTTATTCTTTAAAATTGAACTAGTTCTAAAAAGTTATTAAATTTTTCTAATCTTCGAGTTGTGTTCTTTCAAGTAAAATAAAATTATTTTGAATCAATACAATGTTCTATTGTTAAAAAATAAATTTCGACAAATTTTTATAACTTACAACAGCATGAAGTGGAAAATTTTTAATAAGAAAACCTTTATTATCATATTTTTCACCTTCAAATATTCTATATTCATATAATCTCTTTTAATTTGTCCACCTGCTGGTCTAAAAAGAAAAGATTTTGTTAAATAAAATCTTCTATTGAACTTACTCCACGGCTTTTTCATCAAATAATTTTGCTGCTGGTCATTTAAAAGCAAAATGATTTTTTTTCTTAAATATTTGATGTGATTCAGGTACAATTTGACTTTGATGATCCACATTTTTTTGTATAATCAATTCGTGGTATTAATTTAATTGTAACCATATTTTTTCCCATATCACAATGTTCAACTTTAGCTAAATCATCTCGATAAATTCCACGCTTAACACGTACCCATGAACCTTTCTTTATTTCATATGTTGTTCTAACGATAAGAAGAATATCAGTCATTTCTTTTATTGGTACGATTTGAAGATTTGATATATTTAATGAACGAATATCTTCACATGCTGCTTTAACATGATTTGATTTAAATGCTTCAATATAAATATAACCACGATCACTTTCTTTTACAAACAACTGATTTTATTTGTAATGTCTACAAATGAAATGTATTTATTTTAATTAAGAAAGTCTTTTTCTTTACTTGATCATTATTTTCTAAAGCAAAATATTTTCTCATCATTAATAAAGCTGTTTGTTTTTCTTCTCCAATTCGACATTTAACTAGTCAAAGATTAGGTGATTTAACATTAGGGAATAAACTTTGTTGAGTTATTTCATCTTCATCACCATCTATTGCTCGAATTTTTGAACCATAACGTTCTTTTAAATAATTTTCCATTTCAACTGAATCCATTTCACTTTACAAAAATAAAAATAAATAAAATTTATTGAAAATAAAAACTATACAAACTCTTCAGCTATTGAAAATTTTGGTCAAGATGTTCGATAAATAGTCATCACTGTTACATCATCTGTTGACTTAATGAAACCTTCTTCAGGTTCATCTTCTTCACTCTCTTCGTTTTCATCCACATCTATGATAATAAAAACTAGATTTTTTTTGCTAGATCAATATCGAACCAGCTTGATCGATAATGAATTGTTTTCCAGAAACTTTCATTCTTTTTTGACTTTATTCATGCCTTTCTTTTTTTCTTCTATTTTTATTATCTTCATCATCCTAAATAATCATTTGAGAATTTTTATTAACAAAAGAAAAGTTTTATTAAAACGAACCTCTTCATCATCTTCCTTTTCTTGTTCGTCTTCTTCTTCTGAAATTATTTCTTCATCGTCCAATGCTTTTCTTTTTATTAAATTTCTTTGTTGTATATCATCAGTATGCTAAAAAATACAAAAAAAAAACAATAAATGAATCTTTTCAATTGACGACAACAACTAACTTCTTTACTATCACTCATTGTTATCAATAAATAAAATATCTAAAATAACACAAGATACATGATTTTAAGCAAACTAACAATAATCAAGCTTACCGTCTCGTCCTGTTCAATATGAAGAAATGAATGAATTAAACGAAAAAAGTTAAATTTATATATATATATATACAGCAATAATGTATTTCTATTTGTTGAAAAATATTTGCTAATAGAAAATAATGAGTTATCTAAATGAGCGACTTCTGTCACTGACATCTAAATTAGTTTGTTATCTTGTATAAATAATAAAGAAAAGTTCTTTTAATAAAAACTGCAAAACTTGATAGTTAAATTTTATTAAGAATTCTGCTATATTTCAAATTTGTTGAATATGAATATTTCAAGTTATTTTTTTGTTAATTGTAAAAATGATTTTAAACTTAAGAGAGAGTCCATCAGACTATCGATGAAACGCTACGTACGAAAAAACTGTGTTCTTTTTTAAAGAATGAGCTATATCATTGGAAAGCCCGTAAAAAGTTATTCTCAAATCCAAATTTTTAACTCTTTTGGAAAATTCAATCAAGAGATACAAAGAAATATTTGAACCAACTCTCAAGTATTTTTATTAAATTTTGATGAATTCTAGAGAATTCGATTTTACACTCCACAACAACATATTTTAGTATTGAATATACCTCTTTTTTACTATTATTTAACGTATCTTGATTAGATCTATTAAACGCATCGTCATAAAACAAAATTAGCTCAAATAGAAATCGCGACTGATATACTATTTTTTAAGTAAAAAAAAAAAAGTAGACAAAAAAGATCATTTTTTATGAAAATTTTTTATATTTTTGTCCTAAAAGTATAACAGGATAATGCTCTCCTAAACATCTTTTAATAGCAGAAGATACTCCATGTAAAACTGTATCTTTCTATGTATGACTCGACAGGATAGCACTTGGTAGGCTCATTCAATTTTTCAATACAAATAATGATTTTCTTAGCTTTTCTCTTTTCTATGTTAATGTCGCACATAAAGATGTATTTATTATTTCGAATTTATTCTTCCATATCAAAATATCGCAGTCTATTATATTTTCTGATGTGTTATAAAGTTCAAACGTACACTTAATATTGAATGCAACTTCGCTCTTTGACTTTCTGAAAGTAATACTTTCATTTCTAACTCAATTTTATCTTATTTACTTATCTCCTTGGATCGTTTACTAGTGAAGACAATCAATCACATTTTTCTCACTTTCAGTAGTATATATTTTAACGTCCGAATCATCATTTTTTGAATGTACTTCATATGAAATATACTATAGAAATTTGGTGAGAGGAACATCTTTATAATCGATATGTATCTATATAAATACTATTCACATTAGTTATGCATTAGTGGAATTTAGAATAGAATCTTCGAGGGTATGATAGCAATAGGATAAGAAAATCTTGGACTAGTGTAGGGTAATGGTGGTAGAAAAAGTGTCTCAGATACAATTGAATGTTGTTGGTATTGGCAAGAATTTTTTAGCAAGCTACACCAAAGACATTCGAGACATCTCGATTTTGAGGAAATGGTTCGTTTAGTCTAAGTGAAATGAAGTTTCTGTAAAGATGTATCACTATTGGACTGGTGGAACCAATGATTATGGAACTATCCATCAACTTAGTCTGATTGAAAAAGACTTTTAGATGTTCAATCACTAGTGAAGATATTTTCAATGCGAGAGGTAGAATTTTGGAAGGTAAAAGACGGAGTTTAGCAGCAACGTTGTTAACAACGTTTGATTCTTGCGAGGCGTTTGAAATATGTGATAATTTTATACTTGGTTATCGTTGTTGATCAATAAAATATGCTGAAATATAGTGAAGAAAACTTCATATTTACATGTGACAGATGCTTTAGATCTTAGGGTAGGACCAGGTTACGAAAATTGCTGTAGGGTACAGTGTAAAGTACGAACAAGTTTGACCATGTGGGAATCGAACTAATAATGTGATTCTCTATATGTAAACTGATACACGAAATTTACCACATTCACATCATTGTTTTACATGATTCAAACTCTGATTGATCTACATGGAAGATAGAATTCTTGTCAATATATTATGGAAAATATTGTTTGTATGACTTGATTACCCATGTAAAGACTTTGACTCAAAAAAGTGACTATTAAGTACTTCCAATAGTATTTTTTTAAGCAGAAAAAGTACTTATAAGTGAACCTTTGTAAGTAACTATAAGTATACTTATAACTAATCAGTACTTTTGATGCTTAAAAAAATAATATAAAATACTTCGCACACTCAAAAAAGCACTATTAAGTACTTTTAAAAGTATATAAAGTACCAAAATTTCCCAGAAACAGTGAAAAATAGTAAAAAAAGTTACTTTATTTTACTTTATTAATATTAAAAGTGACTTTTGGTTCACTTTGTTTTGTTTTTTTACATGGGTAGTTATTTTTTTGTTTGAATGTATAAAAGTTTCTCAGAATCATTTATATTCTGTTAAAAAATTCGCATGAATATATTGAAGAAACTATTCTATCATGATTTTCATTTACGATTTCCACAAGAAATATTCGAATAAATTTTAATGTTCATAAGCGAAGATGGATATTGAAATTGAAGGCATAGAACATGATTTACGATTAAATACGACCTTTTATGCTCATGCATTTTTAAGAATTTATAAATCATTTTGGTGGTCATGTATTAGAAAGACAATTTTATTGACACAGATGTGCAAGACAAAATATGATGTTATGTTTGTTTCCTTCTTCCGTCTGATGAGGGAACATTCCCAAGTGTTAATCGCAGATCCAAACGAGAGTTACCCAAGTCGATAGAGCTCAACGAACTGGTTGCGGTGGTCATAAACCTTTTCTCCCATACTACCTTCTTATATAGTTTTCAGATCGAATTAACCTTATGGAACATGACTTGTAAAAATAGACTATGTGTTTATTGTGAAAAAGTTCAGGATACACAAATCTTTTCATTAGTGGAAATGATAGCTATTGAAAAAATGTTTGAAACAAAGAATATATTGATAATGACTACAGCAAAGAGGGCTGCGCAAGTACAACTTGTACCACTCGTGTCACAGTTAACTATGTGTCACCATGTACCACCTTGTATCGGGTCCATGTATCGATGTAATAACATATATAACCCCAAAAAACCTAGAATTCTAGAATTCATGTACCACCCTGTACCACCTTGGGGGTATGGGTGTGAGTACGTGAAGAGAGAATTCGCATCCACTACCATCCACACCCACACCCATGAAAGATTAAAGTAATATGTCAACTTTGTATTATCAATAGAACTTATCTGAGAGCATAGAAGTGTTTGTTTCTTAGTTTAATCAAAGTTTTTGCTGTATTCTTAGACGTTCTATCGTTCATTTAGGACATATGTACCATCAACATGCTTAACAGGAGAAGCTTCATTTAACAGACCACATATGGGTTCCAATAGTTATGCTTTTTCAAAAACAAAAATGTTGAAACAAAGCTTTAATGTTTACGTCAAGACGAACATCATGTTTTTCATTTGAGATCGAAATGTCTCAATAACCATATGCATAACTGAACAGAAATGTTTTTCTCTCGGTTGTGAAAGCTTCTTAGGAATTTTTTAACTTCAACAATGATGAATATAGAATTGTTTCAGTTTTCTATTTTTCATTTTTGACAACTGCTCAACAAGCATAAGAGCAAAAAATTAGAAAGGAAGACATACAAACGAGAACTTGATAAAGTAACAAAATAACGAAAAAGAAAGAGAAAAAAAACGATTTTTTTTCGTATAAACTGGACTTGAGGTAGAGAAAGAAAAAAAATCATTCATGCTGCGCAATTTATTTTGAAAGTAAAGTTTCAGTGTCATTAGCAAAGTTATCACTACAATACAAAAAAAGGATTTCTTTCATGTCTGAAAATCATACGTACGAGCTTCATGCATCCACACCCGCACCCTTCCCATCAATCTTGTATACAAATCAGTACGTTGTCTCCTAACAATTTTAATGAGTTTTTCTTCTGATTTATTTATTTTTCTCTGAACTTTATTTCTTGTTTATGATTGATATGTCATGCAACACAGTGAAGTTCGTACTTTGTCACTACATATGCTTATTAGAAAGAATCCAAACTGCAATAGTCTGCAGGCTATCTCAAAAAATGATCTTGAACTAAATATCTTCAAATAGCATTAAATATTTTCGATATGTTGGATGTGGTGGAGAAGTCATTGTGAAATTTTTATTTTTATGCAATGAAGTCATCAAGATATATATAGCCAAGAGCAGTGGTAACGGCTCGGTGCAAAGCTAACAATTCTCTGTGAACCTTCAATTCTTTATACTTCATTTTTCTTTGGTTTCAAAGAGCACATCAAGATGTAGAGAATCATAGGATGCTTTTTTTCTTCATTTTTACTTTGCAAGGAGAGAAAAGCAATGAAAAATTCAATTGGTCGAAAAACTTGCACAAGATAGTCCTCCAATGATAAAAACACTCTTGTACATACTAGTAACACAGTTTAATTCAAACAAGCAGCCCTATTATGCGCTGAACCTGTGCATACTCTTTCAAAGAAAAAAAAAATAAATATATAATGAAGACCCACAAACAATTGTTTGTTGCACCATCAAAAAAAAAGTGTAAAGAGAAAAAGATGTTCTATTCTTTGTAAAAACAAAAAAAAAGATTTTTTTGAAGTAGAATATGATACAAAAACCATCTGAACTTTTCGCAAAAAAAATGAGGTGTAAAAAAAAATGATGTTGTTTATCATAGATCAGACTCTACGCCATCTTCCCACGAATTGGTCTCAATTATCATTGTTTTGATGAAAATCGATTCTTTTTCGAGGAGAGACTTATGTAAGAGAAAAACGGAGAAATTGAATTAGTGCGCACTGTATGTATGGCTTTGTTATTTCAATGATTCTGCACATGATTATATATCGAACATTTCTGATTGATTAAATAAAAAAATATTTGATTACAGGAGCATTGAGCAATCACGATCTATTTACTATTTGTTTTTCTTTTCTTACAAAAAAGGAATCTATGCAATTCTTTCAATTAAATTCACTTTCTCTTGAGACACTATTTTCAGAATAGCTCGAATCAAGAGAAAGAAAATAAGCTCTATATGTAAACTCATCATTCATATAGTGATTGAATTCAATCAATAAAGTAAAAGGATGGAATTATCTCGTATCTCCACCGCTCCGTATCGACCTCATGTGCAACGAGTACGTTCCAGACGACGTCAATCAAACAATGCAACCAATAACGTTCCTGTTCATAACTCACAGCCAATTCATCTGTCTCTCGCACAAAATTCATCATATCCCTTGTTTAATGATACTTTTCAGTCAAGAAGCAATGCAACATCCAATAGAAGAAGCAGAGTGTCACCAGAAATCGGATATCCATTAGAAAATATTGGGAAACAAGCAAAATCGAAAAAGAAACCCCAACGGTAGGTGTAAAACTACTGAACCGTAGCTTCAAACTAGAAGGACACATTCTGAAGAGTCGTTTTTCTTAATGATCAAGTTTTCTATTTAAATGAAAAGAGAACTTTATTTTTACTATAGATTAAGATTAATGAGTAATAAAAACGAATCATATGCTTTCTCATGATCCAATTCTTTACATGATGTTTATTACAGAATGAAATTTCATAAGATGATGTGTTATATACTAGGTTAATTCAAAGTCTGACGATGACTAGCTATCAATATTATCAATGACTTCACTATACTTTTGTATTTTTATGTATCGCAATTTACTCTAGGCAACTTTCATACCGACAACTATGGTGTTTGTTTTGTTCGGCACTTATTGTTGGTGCTCTCTTGGCCGCAGTGGTTAGCACTCTCGTTGTGGTCTTACTACGTAAGTGATCTTGCTCTCTGTTGTATTTGCCTGATTTTTAATCACAATTTTCGAATATAGCTCATACAACCACAACATCGACGACTACCACCTGTAAGTGAAACTTACCATGATAATGAAAAAATCATATATATATAGATAGATACTGATTTTATTCGAACGAAGCCAATAAATTCACTTGTGTTTATTTTGAAGCGATTTTTTATTGCTTGAAGGAAAGGAGACGTTTTAATTATATTTATATTTTTTGAAACAACAACTGTTTGATGAGTACAAATTTTATTGTATTGAAAACAAATGGAGTGCTGTTTATACGCGAGATTGAAATGAAAATTGTTTTGATTTTCTGAAATCTTATTCTTATCGAGCATTTTTATTTATTTTACCTTATGCCTGAAAAATTGGAGGATATTCTTATTTTTATATGGCCTGATATGACCATGACGTGTTCTATGAGATAGTATATTTTTCACTTCGATTATCCTGTATTCCGAACAAAGAAAGTTTAATAATTTTGACGACTACTAGAAGAAAAAGTTTTTCTCCTTATTATTTTGTTAAAAAGCCGGAAAGATAATTAATTTGCCTATTGAATTGTATGTTTTTATCAGATTTATTTTTCGTTCTGACAGAATATTCATTGATTGTCTCCGATTTCCTTGAATGGAGCAGCACTGTCATAAATGCTGAAAATCGCGGAAGGAGATTATGTATCTTTCACAGAAGATAGTGTATTCCCCATGCAAGATGATCATAGCTCTCATCTGATATGAGAGTGCTGCTCAAGTTTTTGCGATTTGTAACATAGCTCATAAAATTATCATTTTGATATCAATTGATTAAAGCTTGCGAATCGTATTTTCAATGGATATTTCTAAACGTAGTCAACTACAAAAACACAAGATTATTAGAAGATTGTGTCGTTTGTAGAACTTTGTAGAGTTCGTTATGCTAATCATTTTGGTAAAAAAAAGTATTCAAATTTACTCAATAAGCCGTGGTGCTGCTTGGATCAAAATACTTGAAAACAGCTACTACCACTGAACAATAGTCACGACTAGCGAAAGTTTTTGAGTATTTTGATTCTAGCACCATTACTTTTTGGGTAAATTTGAATATTTTTTTTTAATCAAAAGATCAGTTTAACGACACTACAACATTCAACAGACGAAAAACTCTTCTGAAAACATTGTGTTCTCTTTGGTTGACTGGTCATGGAAGTATCCATTAAAAATACGATTCGTACGCATGTTTTCATTGGTACTTTTTTTTAAAATTAATTCAATTATTCGTCAGAATCGGGAATAAAGCTATTGGTACATATACATTTCAGTAGAATAGTTGATGTTTTTAGCAAATTACATGAAAATTAGAATCAATTGTAGTTTTTCAAGATTGTTGTAGAGTGAAGAAAAGTATCAAAAATAACTTAATCATTCTGCATAATAACTGATATTTTTAGCGGCAACAGCAACAACAGAAACGACAGCAACCACAACCACAATCACTACAACAACGACAACAACGACAACAACAACTACAACAACAACCACAACAACCACAACAACTACAACAACAACAACAACAACAACTTCAACAACTTCAACAACGACAACCACAACAACCACTACAACAACGACGACGACAACAACAACTTCAACAACTTCAACAACTTCAACAACTTCAACAACTACAACAACGACGACGACAACAACAACAACAACTTCAACAACAAGTAAGTTACGAAGTTACAGTAGGAAACATCAGAAACAGAATCAGTACTCATCATCATCATCATGTCCCATAGGCTTAGCGCCCGTTGGGGAGAATCAGTACTAACAATATATTAATTTAGGTTCGACTTCGACAACCAGCACCACTAGTACTTCATCTTCAACCACGTCGACCAGTGAGTAGAGACTTTTTTCTTTGAACAAAACGAAAAAGATCATACTCACAGTACTGAGATGATCTATCATCGGTTTTTGTTTCATGGCCCTTTTTTTATAGCTAGCTGTGTTTCAGTTCATGAGATCTGAATCGTTGAAGTGAGTAACCACCAGTTCTAGTTCACGTAAGTTGGAGATATTAATCAGTTCAGTTGAACGTCAATTAAAATTGTTGACTAGTTCCAGATCATGCAAACAGAAGTTGAAAACTCGCTCCTTTTATTCGGTTTGGGTCCGATCGTAAGAAAGAAAGATTTTAGTTGTCATTGTTTGTCTAAAAACCTTCGTTACAAGCTATAGAAGATGTCGATTGACTACTGAACACCTAGAATTTTTGTTAGGACCTCTGCATAAGTGATGTCGATTCGAGTTGATTTTTGTTTTTCCGTGGTTATTCGATATTTTCTTCCTCGAATGTTAGTTCCATGTCATTTTAAGAGATGTACCAGTTGTTATTCATCATTGTTCGAGATGAATTTTTTTAATGTCGTTTCACTCTGTTCTTTGTTTCTATTTGTTCTACTCTCTTCAAAAGAGAGACGTCATTCTGAACGTTTTAGAATTCTTACCAAAAATTATTGTTCTTGAAAGTTTTTTAGCTCAAAAGTGTGAAGCATAAGAAAGCCTAGACGTTTTTACAAGAATGTGAAGAAGTGCATAAATTGGTAGCGAGATTCGAAAATCTGAATATTTCAGTACATCGTCTTTTTTTAGAATCAAGATATTTCTTCAATTTATCTTTGCTTCAGAGGAGAAGACGTATTGAATATTGCTCGAACTCATCATCATCATCTGTAGTGTATCACATTGGACGTTGCTTTCGCTACGAGACTACGCCATTTCTGCCTGTCTTGGGCATTTTTCCAGGCAGAGAAGAGACCTAGGTTGAATGAACGTAGGTCGTCTTCGACGGAGCGGATCCATGTGTGGCGTGGTCTGCCTCGAGGGCGTTTCCATCCACGTGGTGGTCCATTAATGCCTACTTGTAGTGCTCTGGTGTGGTCGGAGAGGGGATTGCCTCTAACTATGTGCCCAGCTTGTCGCAGTCGTCTGATTCTGATAGACGCACTGATCTCGAGTTGTCCGGTACGTTCGCGGACTTCTTTGTTCGTGATGTGTTTCGTGTATGATATGTGGAGAATTCGCCTAAGACACCAGTTGTCGAAAGCGTCTAATTTCTTCTAGGCCGAGTCAGTTATTGTCCAGATCTCCGTGCCGTGCAGAAGGACTGGTAGTATATAGTAGTTGTAAAGACGGATTTTGGTCTGTAGCGATATGCTTGAGCACCAGATAGGTTTATCCAGTGTCTTCATGCAGTTCCGAGCGATTGCGATCCTTCTGGTGATTTCTGGTACGCTGCTACCAGTTTTGTAAATCGTGCAACCTAGGTAGACGAATAAGTCGACCACTTTCACATTCTGGCCTGGTATAGATAGTGCGTTGTTGTCAGTTAATGCGAATCCGGTTTCTTGAATTTTTGTCTTTGGCCAGTTGATTTCTAAGCCGAGCGGGCGAGCTTCATGCTGCATGACCTCCAATGCCAGCATAAGTGCCACGTCATCCGCAAAGTTCAAATCGGTGAATACTTCGTTACTCAGTGTAGCATCAAGCAGCCCTCGGTATACCGTTCGTTGGAGCAATCAGTCCATTGGTGCCAGAAACAGATCCGGGGCAATGGTGCACCCTGGGCGAACGCCGCTTTTGACTTTAAACCAATCGGATAGTTGGCCGTCGACGCGAACACTGCTGAATGTATCAGAATACAGTTCCCTCATTAGGTCGACGATTTTCTTGGGAATGTCGAGACTTGTCACTATAAGCCAAAGAGCATTACGATCGATCGAGTCGAACGCTGCCTTGAGGTCGACGTAGGCATCCAGAGTGGACGGTTGTACTCACGTTGTGTTTGAAGCAGAGTAAGTAATGTAAAGATTCTGTCCACCGTTGATTGGCCTGGGGTGTAGCCGCTTTGTTCGTTCCTGGGCATGGCCAAAAGCAAGTTCTTCACTCTTGACAACAGAATTCATGCAAACAATTTGCTGGGGCAGGACAGTAATGTAATGCCTCGGTAGTTTCTGCACTCCTGCCTATTACCTTTCCCTTTGTAGAATCGTAGAATAATGCCTTTTTTCCAATCCGATGAGATGACTCCGGAACGCCAGACATCCTGGAAGATATTGGTTAGCCAGATACTACAGTCGACGCCTCCAGCTTTCATCATCTCGGGGGTGATATTGCACATGCCAGGTGCTTTGCCGTTTTTCATTTTATTCAGACAGTTGATAACTTCCTTCACCGTTGGTTCGCTGCAGTTGACGGTTGGGTCTTCGATGGCCGACTGGGCAGCGGTAGTAAGTTCCTCGGAGTCTGGTGTGTTGGGTCGGTTGAAAAGTTCAGCGTAATAGTTGCGCCAACATTCCAATTTTTGTGATTTGTCGCTGATTAGGTTGCCATTTGTGTCGAGGATTGGACTGCTGACGGGTCGGATGGCCTTAGCTAAGCGTCGAACGTTAGCGAATGCGTTCCTCACTTCATCTGCGATGATTGCCGCCTATCCATCTCTCACCATGCTGTCAGCTCATCGTTGCCGATCCAATTTTAGATTTGCTTTGCACTGTTTGTTCAATGTCTTGTACTCATCATGCTTGTTGAGAAGTCTTGCCTGTCTCTTTTTCTCAACCAATGTGAGGGTGGTGTCGCTGGTCCACGGCTTCTTCATTTGTTTGCGAAGACCTAATTGCTTGGCTGCCACATCGTTTAATGTTTTCTTGAATCTGTCCTAGCTCGAGGTCTCTTCGGCTGCTAGTGCGGCGTAGCGGTTGCTTATGTCCACCGCATATTTAAATTGTACTGCAGGATCTTCCAGCTTCTTGATGTTATAACGTAATGTGTGTGATTTTTTCTCGCTTGTGCATTTTAGTCTCAGCGACATCGTAGCAATTATAGGTCGGTGGTCTGTGGCAAACTCCAAACTACGATAGAAGTGATAGTTTTGCAGGGCGGACCATTTAGTGTTGACCAAAATGTGGTCGATTTCCTTGACGGTCACCCCGTCGTTTGAGAACCATGTGTACCTGTGTATATCCTTAAGCTTTAACCATGAACCACCGATTCTTAGGCCGGCTCCCAAGCAGAAGTTCAGTAGCCTCTCTGTGTTGTTATTTGGAGTGCCGCTTCCATACGGGCTTATAACGTGTTCTATATTGATTCTTGATGTTCCCGTGACAGCATTGAAGTCACCGAGGGAGACGATGAGATCGCTTTGATGTATCGTCTTCTTTGTTTGTTCAATTTGCTGATAGAAGGCATCTTTGTCAATGTCGCTCGCCTTGTTCGTGGGGGCGTACGCTACTATTATTGAAAGATAGCCGAAGTTGTATTTGAATTTGGTCGCCAACAGTCTTCCACTGATTGGGTGCCATGAGATCATAGCTGCGACGGCGGTCTGATCGAGCGCAAGAGCCACTGCTGCAGACCGTAGAGTCCCAACAGTTGGACTGGACCATAAAATTGTATAAGAGCCACATGTTGTTTCGCCGATACCGGGCCAGCGTACTTCTTGGAGAGCCATCATGTTGATCGTTGCTTTCTGAAGTTCTGAGGTGAGTGTGGTAGCCGCACCAGTGTCTAGAAGCGTTCTTATATTCCATGTACCAGCATGAAATAGGTTCTTGGATGGGAATCGTTTTGCTTGACGGTTGTAAGGATTTCGCCTGATGACGACTAAGCCGACCTTACTTACGATCCTGCCGAGCGTGGGTCCCACTCTTGATGATTGGGATCCGTTTACGTCGTTGGTCGTGACAGTATTTTGGTTTCGTCTCATACTGAATTACGTAGGCAGAGAATTTCCCTGGCTCCGTGCCGGGAGAACGCAGCTAAGGTGGCTGATCGTTTGCAAAGAAGATAATCGCGTCCACTCTAGACCGGCCACCTGGCCACCGCCTGTGTTGGCCATCGTTTTCAGGGTTCTCGTTGAGCCTGTCCACCTCGCGTAGCACCCTAGGTGATTCTTCAGCCGGAGCTTTCATCACCAATGGCATAGCCTCAACGAGCAGTCCCGTACTCAGATCTTCGCCCCCACACTACGACGAGGTACAGGACGGATTTTGAGGGGGATTGCTCGGACTGGCGCCTGAAAAGTCGAAAATTTTGTTCGCCGGCCTATACGTATGGTATAAGCCTGAGATTTGAGTGTAGATGTGAGTAATATCTCCTGAGCTACACCTACACTCTATAAAGATCCATGAGTGTCGATGTACTCCTCGATGTGGGTATGAGTATGGTCTTACCGACTCGGCGTAGTTTTTGGTCACGGGTTTATATTTATGAAGGCCAAACCCACACCTAGAATTTTTTTTCTTGAATATATTCTCTCCGTTCGTGCTTTATCACTTTTTTTGTCTCTTTAGCTACGACGACAGCGACAACGAGTAAGTTTTTAATCGAAGTGCATTGTATTAATTAAGTTCTAATTCTATTTTACTTTGGATAGCACCGTCATGTACCAGCCCAAATACGACAGGAGCGATTCTTACCATTGGTTCTGGCTCTGCCACGACCACTTATACACTCTATACACATGGATTCACTGCTACTGATTCTTCAGCAACTCTAACATTTATCATTACAGGCGAACTTAACGGTGCTCATCACCATTGGTTACTGGACAGCGTATCTGTGAATGCTACAGCTAATAACACAAATATTCTTGTCAATGGCGGATTTGAGACGGGTGACTTTACAGGATGGACTCAATATTGCGCTACAAGTGCTAATTGTGATGCAAGTGCTTACGGTCAAATAACAACAACTCCTTGTGAATCGGGAGCATACTGCTACATAGATAAATGTGGCAATAAAAATAATTTCGATTATCTTATCCAGTCCTTTGACACTGTGAGTGGAAATTATTACTTGATAGGATTTTATTTGAAAGTCAACAATGTTGGAGCAGGTTGGTTTGTATATGTTATGTTAGCCTGATTGAAAATGCTTCTCTCGACAAATGGATGGATATATAAATCAATAAATAGACACGATATAAAAACTTTTACGTGAATTAAGCACTCTTTTTGAAATGATCATGACTACTATATACATTTAGATTGTCGAAAAACAATACAGTGAGGTCTGAAATTCGTACATTTTCAGAATCAAATAATGTTTTCGTGTATATTTGTGATATTTACCATTGAGCTTGCCTGTAGTACTCGATTTCTCAGCTCTCTGCATCCGGTCGTTGTAGGAGAAAAAAATATCATTATCCCCATCTTTATTTGATCTGAAAAATTTGACGATGAGAGTTTTATTCTGGGCAAGGGATTCATCAACTAATTTGAACCCAAATGATGATTGCTGAGATAAATGTGGGTGTGGTCATAGCTCTGAATGTCACTGAAATGTTCGAATGGCTGAAGGATTTGTTCACGCCGACATCCATTTTGTAGAAAATTGATTCTGAACCGGCTAGAGTATTTTCAAACTTTCATTATTTATTAATCGAATATAAATTTTTTAGAAAATGTCCGCTTTTCTCATTAATTGATATTATATTTGATTTTCGAAAAAATTCATTTTCCAGAAAATGAAAAACCGACACATTGTAAATAGTCTTCAAAAAGCAATTGCAATTTCGTAGAAAATCGTTGTATCAATTTCGATCAGTTGCTAACTATTATTTCAAAAAACTTAACTGATCTAGTTATCATGAAATCACACACATAGTATATGACTTGTGTCATGGTCTACAACCGTATTATAATTAAATGCAAAAATCTTTCATTGCTTTGTAAATTGAATCATTCTCGTTCGTTTTACTGCATAACTTATGGAGAGTAAATCAGAGAACAGATGCGCAATTGAATGATAATTTAGATACCGAATCTTATTAATATAAAAAAAACGCATTCAATGAATCATGGTTAAAAGATTGATAACTTTTTTTTACCAACCACTAATTCGTTTATCTGTTTTATTCAATCTTTTTATTCTTTTATCGACCAATATTTATTGTATCTTTCTATTTTGGTACATAGATCTTTTGTTTTTATTTCCTTTTTACCGTCTTTTCCGCCATCTTCATTGTATTAACATGATGTCATTAGTATATTTTACAGCCATTTCTTTCTCTTCTTCTATATTGTATATAAACTTTTAATAGATAGAGAATCTGTATATGTAGCATGTTTTAAGTTAATAAAATTAATAATTTTAATACGAAAAGATGACAGTTATACAATCGAATCTTAATTAGAAGTGTATATTTTCTAGGACTATGGCCGTTCCATCTATCTACATATCATTCATTTATTTTTTTATATTTGATTTTCTTATCAATGTCTATCGATTGTGTGCCTCAATATACATTTTGGGTGTGCGTGTGCGTTTGCGTGCAGGCAAAAGGGTCATTGATACACACACCCACACCCTGTATGCCTTTTTTTCTGAAAATTTTCATCGACGATACAGTTTTAAAATAGACTAACTATTATAATGGTAAATGATCAAAGGAGAGAAGAATTTAAGTCTCTATTTTCCTAATAAAGAGTAACAACCGCTGTATTTTGTCTTAAATGAAACAAATGTTCTCTTCTATTGCAAGTCAGGTGAATTGATTGATGAAGGTTGTACAGGCATCATGGTTGATTTTCGCTTGTGAAGTTACAGGAAAAATAATTATTTATTTATTTATTTTTATTTAAAAAACTATTAAAATATTTTACTTTTCGAGTTGATTCATCGACATGATCCAATTTTGTTTTAATTTAAAAAAGAACTAGTGAATAATTGTTTTATCTGCAAACTAAATCACAATCTGAAGGACAATATTGGCTTGTTGCTTTGGATTCATATAAATCTAGAAGTATTTTATCGACTGCAAGATGGTCATTTGTATTTTTTTATCTAATATTTTTTCATCTAAATGCGATTGGTGATGAACTTAAATAAAAAATATAAGAATTACATCTCTATAAAACTATTCTTATATAACGTATTCATGCCATCAAATTTATTGTAGATGATACACCAACATTTTATGTTAAAATAAATGTCTCTCTTCTTTTTGTTTTCGATTTAGTTTATATTTTATCAATGAAATCAGATGAAACAAAATCGATGTTTAGTATTAATTGTGATGCATCTAGGGGATGGGTGTGCTCCTTTCTTCATCACAGATACCCATTTCCACACACCCGCACCCGCACCTGCATTCACATCCATACTCTCTGCCAAAGAACTTATATTCTGTCAATTGAGAGAATTGAGAAAGATGATCAAGTGAAAAAGACATATTGAAATAGTTTCTAGACACAATATGTGATCTACCTTATTCAGCTCATACTGAGAAGTTCGTGACTTCCGATCATTGGGGAAAGTATATCCTGATTGGATGTTAAGTTTCTTATGAAGATTGTAGGATTTTTCTACGACGAAAAATTTTCATATTAAGAGCACTTGGTAATAGAAAAGTTGAATTTTTCTTGATGTCTTCCTAACACATTCGACCAATAAACTTCTTATACGAGTTCAAATTTCTAGACCGCTTTCTCTCGCTCAGAATTAAACTTTCATGAAACTAGCAAGATATTATTGCGTGTGAGATCGAAACAATTTTCATCGTACAAATCAAACTTTAGCTAGACCAATGTCAGTTTCTCAAACAGCCACATGAAGAATCACGAAAACACAATGAATAACAATGGCAGCCAGCATCAGAAATATATTAATAATAAGTAGGTTTTGTATTTGAAGTTCTAACGACCTGCGAGTACATAACAAAAATATGTTATGATCGATTTATCATCAAATTAAAAAAAGACTTAGCGAAGCTCAGCGATTGATAAAGGTTTATCTTTGTATTTTAGTCACTTTGCAGTATTTGTGATGCGCATAAAGAATAAAAAGAATGTATTTTGCATAATCATTTCTATTGACTCTCCATATCCGGAAATGAGTAATTCAATTAAGACTGTTCGAGCTTCTCTAAGATATGTGTCGCTTCACGCCGTCCACTTTCAAATGCACTGTCAACATAACCAATCGATCCACTATAATTTGTATGCTCACCAGCCCAATGTACACGGCCATGATGAGACTCGCGTGCTAAATCTTTAACAGTTTCTAAATCAGTTCCCACAGCAAAGTATGAATACGATCCACATGAGTATGAATCACACATCCATCTTGTTACTAACCATTTAATAGGATCGGTCATTAGCGGATAGATTCGACGGAGAGAAGTAACAAGTGTTTTAACTATTTCTTGATCACTGTGTTGTTCTAATTCACGTGCATGGCTGGCAGCAATATACAAAACTAGAATACAAGCTTCTGGAACACAAACATAAAATTGATAATAATGATTCGTAATAACATCAATGTTTTGCAAGTTCTCATCCCAAAATATGGATGAAAACTGAAGAAAAACTTTATTCAACAGTCCAAAACCCATTTTGTCGATAGCTGTTTGTTTCCAGTCGGGTATGGGTGGCATGAATGCAACCGAATGTGTTTTTAAACAGCCAAGTGGTATAGTAACGAGAACATATTTGCATGCGTAATGACCACCATTTGATGTCGAAATATGAACAAGTCCGTTCAATTCATTGGAAATTTCAATCTGAGTAACAACAGTGTTAAACTCGATAGGAAGATTATTTTGGTCAACTATCTGCTTGATAAATGAACCTAATCCATCAGAAATTAAGAGAATGGGTGCATCGATGTTACCTTCTCCGATTCCATAAGATTTGGTCGAGATTTCAGTTAGATTTGCTCCTTCGTGATCTTCGATAGAAGCAAAGCACATACCAACAAGACGTCGTATTTTTTCGCTTTCAATCTTCGCATATTCATCACGAATGACATCGAATATCGAGACATCTTCTTTATTGGATGGATAGTTTTCAATGATCGTACAATATTGTTTAAAGAATCCGTCAGCTGTATCAATCGAATCCAGTGGAATCGGTGTACCATCTACATCGAAGGTGCTTGTTTTCAATCTATCATACGTATCATTATCAATTCGATCTTTGTCTGATGGAAAATAATAGGTGTAAAAAGGATTGTCTGGATGATAATGATGTAGCCAACGAGCACCTAAATCAACAGGAGCTTTTGCACCAAAGGTTTGCGTATCGGTAAACGCTCGACCACCTACACGATTACGAGCTTCAAGAATGATAAAACGGGTAGTTGATCGATATTTTTGTAATTGAAGTGCAGCACCAATACCGGCTGCACCACATCCAATAATGATGAGATCGAAGAGATGGTTGGATGTCAACATTTTTTTCTATACCACGCTTACCTGAGTAATAAAACCGTCGTTATTTTCGTAAGAAATGGAGAAAAGCATCTCCAGCGTATCAAGAATTGTTAGAGTTTTTAATATCATGGAGGATCATAAGAATAGAGATGTCGTACTCTTCTGGTAGATAGTGAAAATCCTAGCCTGTTTATCTTGAAATCTTATAGTTCAATTTCATAATATGTCTATTTTTTTAATTTTCTTGTTCTTGACAGTATGAACAAAGAGTAATAACTATAAATACGCGCGTAGATATTAACATTTTTTTTTCCTGTAAATAAATGGTAATTAGTTTTTTAACTTATCGTTTATTATCTATTCTTATTGGAATTCTTTATCCATCATATCAAACATATAAATCAATAAAATATCAATATTATGATCAATATCAATCATTATTATGTTATTGGATATTATTTAGTTTATTTCAAATATATGAATTTCTATTTGATCAAATTATTTCATTAATTATACCATTTTATTATGAATTAAAATTATTTTTTATTTTTTGGTTAACATATAAAAATATTTCACAATTATTATTTTATCATTTTATTTTAATCTATTTGAATAAATATGAAAATGATATTGATTATTTATTTAAGAATACAATAAATCGTTTAACAGAATTATTTCTTAAATTTATTGTATTAATACTTAATCAACAACAAACAATAATAAAAACTGATCAATGTGAAAATCAAGGTGATCATATACGATTGAAAACAAATTTTGCTGCACAATCTCGAAGATTAAATTCTATTCAACGAAAATAAATCTATTTTTCAATACAGTTTTACATATGTCCTTAAACTTGCTAGATCGCTTACTTTTGATACTCATTATTATTTCAACGAATGCATCCATGTTTAACATTTAAAATGAAATATAAAGAGTTTTATTGATTCACAACAGAACTTACGAGGGAGGTACCCGAAGTGATTCAGAGGTTTTGAGCTGATATTTTGCTCATAAGCAGGATCTGATAAGACTAGAAAAAGCCTAAAAGGATATGGGCCCATAGGCCTTTCTTCCCGAGTTACGAGCATTTTACTGGATTTTCTATTTATGACAAGGGATTCATCGAAAAATCAAATTACATAGTTTCGACCTGAAATTTTGCTCATATGTAGTCCTTATAATTCTTATCGTAGCCTAAAAGTTCCAGCCCAAACAAATGTTTCTTTCACGAAATAATAAATACTCAAGAAAAGCCTTTTATGCTACAGACAAGTCAGGAAATCGACTTTTCTTGATTATTTATTATTTC